AGGGTGGGGCAGAGGGAAAAGGAGGGAGAAACTCAAGCGGACTCTGTGTTGAGCTCAGAGATCGATGCAGGGCTCCATCCTGTGACTGTAAGATCAGAACCTAAGCAGAAACCAAGAGTCAGATCCCTAACAGATACTGTGCCACCCAGGTATCCCTGCATCTCTCTCTCCTTTTAAAACTTTTAAAATTTAAATTCGATTTAATTAATGTACAGTGTATAATTAGTTTTAGAGGTAGAATTCATTGATTTATCAGTGCTCATTACATCACATGGCCTCCCTAATGCCCATCACCCAATTATCCCATCCTCCCCTCTCTCTCCCCTCCAACAATGCTGTGTGTTTCCTATAGTTAAGAGTCTCCTATGATTTGGCTCCCTCTGTTTTCATCTTATTTTATTTTTCCTTCCCTTCCCCCATGTTAATCTGTTTTGTTTCTTAGATTCCACATATCAGTGAAATCATACAGTATTTGTCTTTCTCTTGCTTACTTTTATTTAGTACAATACCCTCAAGTTCTATCCATGCCATTGCAAATGGCAGGGTTTCTTTTTATTGGCTGAGTAATATTCCAGTGTGTGTGTGTGTGTGTGTGTGTGTGTGTGTGTGTGTACTACATCTTCTCTATCCATTTATCTATTGATAGACATCTGGGCTCTTTCCATAGTTTGGCTATTGTGGATGTTGCTGCTATAAACATTAGGGTGCAGGTGCCCCTTCAAATCACTGTATTTGTATCCTTTGGACAAATACCTAGTAGTGTAATTGCTGAGTTGTAGGGTAGCTCTATTTTTAACTTTTTAGGAACCTCCATACTGTTTTTCAGAATAGCTGCACCAGTTTGCATTCCCACCAGCAGTGTAAGAGGGTTCCCCTTTTCCTGCATTCTCACCATCTGTTGTCTTCTTTGTTGTTAATTTTAGACATTCTGACCGGTAACTGCACATTTCTTTTTAATTTCATTTTAGAACTGGATGACGATATTATGATTTGATAATCTTTATTTTTCTCCCTACATAAGTATTTTTTATAGTGGCACTATTATATTTCTATATTATATTTTTGTTATGTTCATATTATATTTAAATTTGCTTTATATACTATATTATTATTTTATATTTGTATATTTGTATTTTATGTTTGTATTATGTAGTAACCATGTTTTCAATAGTCATGTTGACTCAAACCTTGTTTAACTGGACTATCCAATTATATTGTTTCTTAGTTTGATTTTGGGGTAGCTGAAGTATGTCTTCAAGTTATTATTTTCAGTAAAAATAAGGTCATGTGTTTTCTGAGCTCTTGCCCATCTGAGCATGTATGCCACATGTGTTTGTGAGCAAGTACTTGGCTAGTTCCAGGTTAACCAGTGAATCAAGGCAGTGAGAGCAATCTTTTCTACTTTCAAACACTAAGCATACTCCTTTTTCTCTGGCATCTAGTATTGCAGAAGGAAGTATGACTCACATATGACTTTTTTGTGTGTACATATATGTATATGTGTAGGTTTATCTACACACACAAACACATATACTTACTTTTTAAAAATAATCCTAATTGTACAGTACAACCCCCTATTATGCTCAATAAGGACAGTGGTGCTGATTTTAGTTAGATTGGCAAACACACACTAGACTTTCCCAGGGAAAAATTTACTCATCCCCAAGAAAGGATATAGGGCAAGAAATCAGCAAAGGGCTTAGTGAAGATCTCTGGGCTCCCAGGCATGGATCCTTTTGCCCCAGTCACACTTGACTAAGGAAGTGTGTGATCATGAGAGATGAACCTAACCCTAGCCTAGGAATGCCATCAGCCCTGGGTTTTCTTCTACTTTCATACCTAGCTGGTTACATAGGCCTTTTTCTTTCTTTCTTTTTTTAAAGATTTTATTTATTTATTCGTGAGAGACACAGAGAGAGACAGAGAGAGGCAGAGAGAGGCAGAGACACAGACAGAGGGAGAAGCAGGGTCCATGCAGGGAACCTGACATGGGACTTGATCCCACGTTTCCAGGATCACGCCTTGGCTGAAGGTGGCACTAAACTTCTGAGCCACCCAGGCTGCCCTACATAGGCCTTAAATTAAGTGTGTTTGTGCATATATACTTAGTTAGTCACCTTATCTTCTCAGAGGTGTGAGACTACCTTCCAATCTCCCATGCAGTGAATCTCAATGATATCTGATACTCACTGCTCAATGAACAATCACAAGAATGAAGTACAAAGGTTTGGTTTGGTACATGGGTATCAGTTGAATTCTCCTCTTAAATCCGGGATAGACACAGTCCTTCTAATTCTGTTACCTAGTATTGTGTCAAATGCTGATTCAGAAATATCACCAGAGCAACCTGTTTCTAAGACAGATGTTAATTTTTTTGCTTACCTTGGTGTGTTGGGCAGAACAATGTCCCTCCCCCCCACACCAATGATGTTCATATCTTAATCCCTGGAACTTGTGAAGATATTCCTTTACATGGTACAAGAGATTTTGCAGATGTGATCAAGTTAAGGGTCTTGAGATGGAGAGTTTCTCCTGTTTGGAAATCACAAGATCCTTAAACAAGAAAGAATAAGACAGAAGAGTCAGGATCAGAGGAGGAGATGTAACTGTGGAAGCAGAGGTGGGATTGATGGGATTGCTGGCATTGGGGATGGAGGAAGGCACCATGAGGCAAGGAATGCAAGTGACTTCTAGGTGCTGGTAAAGGCAAGGGAATAAATTATCCTCTGGAGCCCCAAGAGGGAGTGCAGCTTTTCTAACACCTGGACTTTTGCCCAGTAAGGCCCATTTTGGACTTTGGACCTCCAGAAACATAAAACAATTAATCTGTGTTGCCTCTGTCCACTAAATTTGTGGTAATTTGTTATAACAGTGAAAGTAAACTAATATACCTGCAAGGAAGAATGTGACAGAGACTTGATACTACCTCAAAGAGGGAAGGGAGAAGGTAAGATATTTATTAAATCTTTAAAGTCTTGTTTAAGAGAATGTATTTTTTAATGTGGGGGCTTGATTAGCATTGGGTAAAGATGATGATACAGTGGTTTAAGATTGAGGGATACTGTAAGACAAAAATCTTGAGGAGAGGAGCTCTAAAGGTCTTGGATCAAAGAGTCAGTTGTAGCTTTCTGTTGAAGAGTTGATGAGATGTTCTTGGAACTAACAATAAATTTATTTGTGATTTATATTTTTCTAGGCAAGAGTTACCTAGACTAGTATAGTTATGTTGAGACACAGAATAATAAAGTCAGTAGGCCATGTGGGGGTAGATGATTTGGGGTTTCAATTGTAAAGAGTATATAACTCAGGGTCAAATTTTCAGATATCCCTGAGGCTAGAAGAAAGTTTACAGAGAATGATCTGGTAATATTTTCTTTCCTTGGGATTTTTTTTCTTTCTCCTTGCAACTCAGATATTTTAATAGAGTACAAGTAGGTTTTAGTCTACTTTTACCCAATTGCTAGGATTTTTACTTAGTTTAGAAAATTCTTTTTCTTGTTTACTTGTATATTACTTTTCTGTTACTGCTGGAACAAATTATCACAAACTTAATGGCTCAAACAATAATCTTTTGTTTTGTTTTGTTTTATAGCTCTTTAAGTTAGAAGTTCGACATGGGTCATACTGGGACAAATTCAAGGTATTGGGGCCACATTCCTTCTGGAGACTATTGGAGAAGAATCCATTTTCTTGCCTTTTCCAGTTTTTAGAGGAAACCATGTTCCTTGACTTTTGACCTGCTTCCTTTGTCTTCAAAGCCAACAATGGCAGCCTGAGTCCTTCTCATGCTACCATCTCTTGTTCTCTGCAGATGGGACAAGTTCCCTGATTTTAAGCACTTGTGATTAGATTGGCCCCAGCTGAATAATGTGGTATAACTTCCCCATCTCAAGCTGACCTTAATCCTAAATATATCCACAAAGCCACTTTTGCCATGGAAGGTAACATATTTATGAGTTTGGAAGATTAGGGCATGGATCTTTGGGGGAGCCCTTAGTCTGCTGACCACTTTCATAGTAAGTCCTTTCTGCATGTAAGCACATCCTTTATTTTTTGAAGGCACTGCTCCCTTTTCAATGATATGTCTTATGAATATTTTATATATATTTTCATAGGATTCATGTTTATTTTATTTATCTAGGAGGCATGTTATTTGTCAAAAAAACAAGGTGGGCAGTTTCTCCTTGGCCATAATACCTTCTTGATTATGGTGAAAACTTTAGCTCCTCAGCAGGAAGGATAAGTTTTGTACACTAATGTTCTTGTGCTGGAGGGGGAAGCTTCTCTCTCTGGTTACTGAGGTGACTATGTCACTGTTGTCAGGGTATGCAGTATGGGTGGGAGGAACTCTCTTAATCTCTTTTTCTGATCAATCCCACTGCTCAAACTAGAGAAAATATAGTTGGAGGTCTTAAAGATTGTTGAGTCTTAGTTTCAATGACTATCCCATTTCTGTATCTTTCTGTGCTTTAAATGAGTGAATGGGAAGGTAGGGTAGAGAAAATAATCACTACTAGTTCACTGTTCTCTTCACCTAGCATCCCACCTGGATCAGTGCTTTGTATTATCCTTTAATGTGCTTACAACACTCTTTATATTGCTTGGTTCTAAAGTGATATGGGCTGCTGAAGCTCTCTGTCTCATGTTCCCAAGTGTCCTGGTTGTGCTCTCTCTTCATGGCCACATCCTTTATATCCCTCTGTGATGGGAAACATGCTGTACGCCCTGCCTTCTTTGTTTCAGTGCCACTCGAAAACAGATATTCTATTGTGAAGATGTGCAAAAATTGTGTTTCCTGTTCAGCCTCCCTGAACTTCTCCTAGCAAATAGGAATAGCCCTGTGGTTAATCACTTAATGCCCAATATCAGGTACACTAGGTGAACAAAAGTATGCCTAACCTATAAGGAGATAAATGAAGATAAGCTCTGTTGCTATTTTCTATTGTTATTGTCAAAAGATTTCATGAATAATAATCACTTCTGTTTCATCTCTGCTCCAGACTCACCTTGACATCCTGGAAAAAAGTGTGAACCCCAAGCAAATCTACTTCCGCCAGGAGGTTCTCTGCCAGACGTTGGGAGGGAATTCGTGTCCATTGGTGACCATCACAGCCATGCCTGAGTCCAGTAGCTCTGACCATCTAGAGCAGTTCCGTGAGTAAAAAATGACAATGCTCTTTAAAGATCTGGTGGTCATGGGGGGTCCTCACAGCCTTGGATGATCCCTGTCCTGTTGAGGTCAGAAGCTTCACAAAAGGTTGGGGAGTGGTCTGTCGTTTTAGAAATGTACTTCCCACTCTTGGTACAATGCAAAGGGTAAATATTAACATTGCCCTTTTGGTAAAGGGAGAAAAAATAAATTGCAAACTGTCAGGGAGAGGAAGACTTTTTGTAAATGAGAACAGTATACTAGCGGCAGTCACTTCCTCTCCTAAAACAGAACCAAGACTGGAGTCACATTTTTCAGTCAGGGCCTCTTCTGCCATGCTCATTGCTGTTATACTGCTCCCAAGGTCAGACAAGGGCTGGAAAGGAAGAAAGTTGAATTTTGGAGCCCTGGATGAAGAATCTGCTTGAGATTGAATACCATTTGGATTTGAAGGGCTGACAATGTGGAGGAGGCTCTAGCCAAGAACTGTCAAACCAAACCAACACACACACACACACACACACACACGTACCCCTGAAATGTTAGAGCCCTGAACATTAGTGTGACTTACCTGTAACCAATTAGCCTTTAAAGTTGGCTTTTGACATATTTTAGGCAAAACTAAACAGAATGAAGGCTGTTTTGCAATACAGAAAAGTTTGTGAGATGAAAAAAAAGACTGGGGAGTAAAAATCTGGCTAATTTATCCCCAGAAGATGCAGCCATATCTGCTGAAGTGCTAACCACTTTCAGGTGACTCTTTGGTGGATAGGAAATGTAATTTCTCATACCCCATCAGCATCTGACAATGGATGCTTAACAACCTGGCTAATCAACAACTGATTATCCCATCTGAATTAATGAGGCCCTAAAATACTTTAATGAATAATAAGGGATTTTCCAAAAATTCTCTTACGTGTTTCATGAATTTAAGAGCAATTTCTTTAACAGTCACGGAGTCCTCTGCTTGCACATGAGCAGTTCTTGGAAGTTAGAGACGGCAATCCTTCCAGCACGACCTTCACTGGATGATTATTTATGTAAGAAAGTAGATCGGTGTAAGCCTGTGGTCTGAAGCTTTAGTTTCTAAATAGGAACTAGGAAAGAACCCAACATATAATTATGGGATGGAGCTGCCTCTGCTTTCACATTTTTGGGTACGCTGACACTGGTGCTTTTGTTGGTGTCATAACTAGAAAGATCATTCCTACTTTAAGGAGAGGACTTAAAACATGGTAAAGATCCTTAAATAATTTGGCACTCTGAAATAGTTCAGTTAATAAAAAAAGAAATCTTAGCATACCCTTATGTGAATCACAGGAGTCTGGTTTCTGTCTACTAACATAAGATTAGTAATCATAAATGTGTGCTCTTATGAGTTTTCTCTCTTAAACGTGTGCTGAGGGGGGCTTGGGTGGCTCAGCTGGTTGAACAGCTGGCTCTTGGTTTGGGTTCAGGTCATGATCTCAGGGTGCTGGGATGGAGCCCTGCATTGCGCTCCATGCTCAGCAGGGAGTCTGCTTGGGGATTCTCAATCTCCTTCTCCCTCTGCCCCTCCCCCTTCTCTTTCTCCTCTTTCTCTCTCTCTCTCAAATTAGTAGATAAATATTTTTCTAAAAGTACTGATATGTCAGCTGTTGTTTATCTCAAGAAGTGTTCTGGGTTGCCTAGGTGGTTCAGTTGTTAAGCCTCTGCTTTTTGCTTAAGTCATGATCCCAGCATTCTGGGATGTAGCACTGTATTGGGCTGCCAGCTCAGCAGGAAATATGCTTCTCCCTCTCCCCTCCCCTTGCTGTGTTTTCTCTCTCTCTCTCTCTCTCTCTCTCTCTCACTCGCTCCCTCTCTCTCTCTCTCTCTCAAATAAATAAATATAATATTTTTTTTTAAAAAGGAGGAATATCCTGGAAAGATGTGGGGAGGACCCAGATGATGGTGTCATGAATGCTGTTCATTCTCCTTGAGGCACAGTAGACTTGCAAGTGACAATCTTTGAGCTGGACCCAGAGGAAATTGGAGCTCTGTGCCACAAAAGAGGATGAATGAGAGCCCTTCTACATAGGTGTGCCAAATACACAATGGTACACGTCCCATGCTTAGAAGGGCCGTGCACTTTGCTTCAATTCTTAAAAACTTTTTCCACAAGAAGCCCTACATTTTCATTTTGCAAAGGGCCCTGCAAGTTGTGTAATTGGAATTAATCTGAGGTCACACAGGTAAATATGACAAAGGCTGGTGCCCTGACTGCACTACCCTCCTCCTCTGCCAAGTCATGCTAGAGGAGTGGCAACTTACCTTGCTAGAACACTGAAAGTCTTATTTGTATGCACCGTGCAGCTGCTCCGTATTGGTATCTTTCTTTGTAATGGTGATTGAAGTCATCCATTTTACAGTTGAGGTAAGTGGATGTTCAGAGAATTAACTACCCTCCCTAGTTCGTGGTGGCTCCTGGTTGGTGTCTGATTTTGTTATTCTGATTTGAGAGTCCATACACACAAAGGATGTCCTAACACAGTCATTTGAACAGGTGTTCATATTCCGCTCAGAACCAGAACTTTCCTTCCTCCCTACTTCATGTCCTGACATTATTAGAAGCTAGCTTCGTTGTTAATGTTGTTGAAGCAGTTCACACTAAGTTGACTACAAATAAACATATTATCCTCTTCCTGCTCACAGTGAATTTTATTTTTCCTTTCCTAACCCAGTGGAAACCTTTTCATGGAGGCTGTTTCTGATATTGTGACAGGAAGACAGAGGGGAAGAGAAGATTCAGACCCCACACGTCCCAGTACAGAGCTGAGATTGAGGAGCTGGGCTGTAGGGCTGGGGACATAATCTCAGACTATAGGCTCTAGATACTGGGCTACAGAATAAACAAGTTCCTCAGCAAGGTAAGATACATATATCTAAACTTTTAGGATGGAAAAAAGTAGCAAATGAGCCAGGAGCTCAAGACTCTCCTGCAGGCAGGCCTCTTTCCAGGTGAGCTCCAATTGTCTCCCCGGCTTCCTCCCTCCCAGGACCAGGCCCATGTCATTCTACAGTGTGTTTTGCTGTGATTTGGGTAGTTTCTGGTGCAGCTGCCACTCAGACTTCATACAGAGCTATTTGTGCACCAAAGACTTTCTTTCCATGGTGTAGGATTATCACTTCTTTCTGATTTTAGAAACCCAAGAAATAACAGCGTGGCTCTGGGGCCCAGGGAGAAGACCTTGCTCAAGGCTGGTTCCCGTAGAGGTTGGACTGAAAATCCCAGACCTAGAGGTTACTGAGGATAATTTATTGATTACTTTTATTCCTTCCTGGGACCTGGGCTCCAGAGAGTCTCCAAGAAGGATTAATTTGGCTTGCTTTATTTTTCAAAAGCATTTTTTTTAAACAGATATTTTCCTGGAAACATTTAGCTTTATTTTCTTGATAAATATATTTTCAGCTCAGTGGTAGCCCAGTTTCCCTGGTGCATCTTTTACGGCTGTCTGGAGAAATGAGGACCAGTGCCTCCTCTGGGTGCTCCCAGGGGAAAATACTCACTTCACACCTCAGAGCCAAAATGCTGGCAGAGCTCCAAGAGCAAAGTCACTCTCTGCCCTTTTCAGCGGGACAGTGAACAGGGAAGTTGTCTGAGAAATTGTCCCTGAGATCATTACGGAGGAGACAGGCTTGAAGTGAAATGGATGATAAAAGGAACCGTTACAAAAGGACAAACAGCTTATTCTAGCTTCAGGATCTTAGTGGATGAGGCCCTGGAGAATTAGCAGGTCAAGGCCTGCTACCTGGTAGGATTCCAGATGTCAGAGGAGCCCTGGACATTTGGGATTTGTAGAGCAGAATGTTGAGTGAGGAGTGAACAGCATCCAAAAGAATACTGCAGAGGCTCCACCAGGTTGGAGCAGAGGGTATCACCTGAGCAGGTCTGGGGACAGGTTTGGCAGGTGAGATGGATCCAGGAAGTTGTTTTAAATGCTTTCTGAGACTAGGCTCCCTCTGCTAATGGTGTTCCGGCATAATTACACTTATCATGGTTAGATCCTTCATACATTGTATATTAATAGGTACTTTGATTAACAGATGCTTTGAATATGCAACTTCAAAATAGAGAGTAGAGAAGTCATATTTTCTAAAGTTTATGTACTTTTCATGGATCGTATGTGTGTGTGTAGTCTTCTTTTGGGATTTGCACTGAAGGTCATTACTTACTCAAATCCTAGTGGAAGTGAGTGAGAAACCCAGAGAGGAGAATGGTCCTGTGTCTCTGAGGCTCGGCCATTTCCCCAACCAGGCTGGCTTTCTGCTTCTTGCAGAAGGGCTGCCTCTATTGTCACAGACCTTCCTATGTTCATCATAATCTCTATTTTGCAAATGGCTGAGTCAAAGCTTGCTTTAGGTGAATAAGCTGCCGGAGGCCACCAGGGTGGTAAGTGGTGGCTCAGGGAGGAGACCCCAGGCCACTAGCCCACAGTTCCAAGGTGGCCCTGTCCTTCAGAATCTGCCCTCGGGTCGCCTGGGTGCCTTTGGCTCAGGTCAGGATCCCAGAGTCCTGGGACTGAGTCCTGCATCGGGCTCCTTGCAGGGAGCCTGCTTTTCCCTCTGCCTATGTCTCTGCCCCTCTCTCAGTGAATTATTATTCTCATGAATAATTAAAAGTGCAATCTTAAAAAAAAAATAATCCGCCGTACCTTGGAGATTCCTCAGAAAGGTGCACAAACAGGACACACTGATTCTTAAAGACTGCTATCATTTTGTTTACTTTTCCATTTTTTCCACATTTCCCCCATGACCTCATTTTCTAAATTACCATTTCAACCCAGAGAAAGTTGGGTCCCTTTTTAATTTGTGGAGCTGTGTCTCTAGTTGGGGAGCTATGTCTCTGTGATGGATGCTTCATCTTTTTTCAGGAGCTTTATTGCCAAATTCCTCCCTCTTTTGGACATTGATGTATTCAGATTCTCTAACAATATTGTCTTGGGGCACCTGGATGGCTCAGTTAGTTGAGTGTCTGATTCTTGCT